CCCCGGTGCCCGGCGGGAGTTCTAAGCTATCGGGTCTGGGACGCGAACCGCAGTTGACTACGTGAAAGTCCAGCGACATAGCCATTATGCTAACTGCTGGTTCCCATAATTACCAAGCTTTAAAGCAAGCCCTGTTGGTTTTGTTTTGTTTTTGCTATAGGGTAAGTGCACGCCAGACAGACAGAGACAGAAAGGAAGAAAACATCACCACCACCACCCCGGGGACGGGGGGGGGGGGCGGGCATCACTAACCTTTCTCCTCCATTCTCCTCTCAGGATCTTGGGCACGCATGCACACACACCCGGCATGAGTTTAAGCCACCGGGTCCAGGACTCGAACCGGGGTCAGCTTGCAATATAGCCATTACACCAACCTGCTGGTCCCCACACCCTTTTGTTTTGAAAATCATGGTCATGTACTATGTTTTTAGTTTTTAAAAATAGATACGATTGAGCACTGAAACTGTTCTCAGGCATCCCCACTGAGTGAAACTGAAACGCCAATACTCAAGGAACTGGGTTCCCATCCTCAGAGGAAGCTTGGATATACTGGAGGCCAGCCGGAGATAAGGGAGATGGGAGGTGGAGGATGGTATCCAAATAGCCTCTCTCTCTCTCTCTCTCTCTCTCTCTCTCTCTCTAAGACTTTTATGCCATATAGCACATGCACTCACTGAATTGAGAGACAGAGAGAGAGAGAGATAAAGTGAGAAATCAACCCCCCAAGGAGGATGGTCACACTGCAATGCCTTCTCCATTCTCCTTTCAGGATTTTGGACACACATGCACACATGCCCAGCATAATTTTCAAGATGTTTGGTCTTAGATTCAACCACTATGTCAATTGCTGGCCCTACCAAATAGCCTCTCAAAGAGCTGGACCCACTAATAACCCAAAATATAATGGGTGGGTTACCCTGAAGGAAAAAAGGGAGGTGACTGGGTAATGGAAGTCCACTCTTGATCTGCTGTGCGGAAGTTAGCAGAGCTTAGTTGGGTGCCCTAGTGAGGCACTCCTGCCTACAAACTCAGTACCCTGCTCTCCACCCCAACCCCAGCTGGGGAGTTAGGGCATGAGATGAACAGAGGTCATCACAGAGACACCAGGGCAGTCATGGCCCCTGGCCAGGGCCCCCTGGCCATCAGGCGAGGCCACCTATGCTTCCAAAGAAGCCAGGTCACATAGACCACACAGCTTCCCCACTGAGACCCGGTGAGCCCAAAGAAGATAATCCCTTGGATGGGAAAACTGACAAGCCTGTGTCCGGGCCATCCAGAAAGTAGGTATCCTTTGACTCAATGAATGGGGAGAACCAGCGGATCTGACATAAAGAACATGTTAAATGGGAAGAAATCTATTGAGTTATTGGAAAAGCCATGACACATTTTTACATAGAAAAACAGAAAAATGGGGCTGGCAGGTGGTATGGTGGTTGAGGTGCTGGACTCTCACATGGCCAACCATGGTTCAAGTCCTGAACCTGGTGGCCTGCTTTCTCACTTTCCCTTTCTCTATCTCTGTCTTTCTCTGGTTGAATTGAAAAATAATAAATAAAAATTTCTAAAAGAATAAAAAAGAAGTTATTTCCTTTATTTAAAAGAAAAGAAAAAGAAAAAAAAAAGACATAGGAAAATAAGTTAAGACTTCTCCGAGGATGGCATGAGGATCCAAAGTCTCCCTGACTCTGGTCAGAACTAGGAGCCCCTCCCCTGTGCTCTCACACACCTAAGTGCGGGCCTCAACACAGACTCCCTCTCACAGTTCTGTGCTGCCTCCTCTGCTAGGCATGACCTCCTTGAGAGCAGGCACCTAACACATTGGTAGGCCCAGACTGGATCCCAAGAAATGACCTTCAGACACCCTGAATGAATTGGATCGCGAATGAGGTACCAGTGGGAGAACGACACTCATTCATGAGAAAACAAATACCTGGCCTGACAAAAGCCAAAGCCGAGCAAGTCCAGAAACAGCAACTAGCTGTGTGCTCGTGGAGTGCTACCTGCTTCTCCCATATTATAAACAGAATGCTTCAGTGGAGAGGCCTTGGCCACAAGAAAAAAGGGAAGACCCATGCAGTTCATCACCACGCACACAGGGCAGAAGCCTGGCAAGGTGATGTGTGCTAACACTGTAAAGCCCTGCCAGCTATTTGGATATGTCTTGGAAGCAGGTGGAGATGGGGAGGCAGGCACCCAGGACAGGCAGTGATGAAGAGCTCATGGAAGGGGGGGGGGTCTGGCAGATGGCATGGTGGTTATAGCACTGGACTCTCACATGACTGACCACAGTTCAAGTCCTGGACCTGGCAGCTTGCTTTCTCACTTTCCCTCTCTCTTGCTCTCTTTAGTCAAATTGAAAAAGTAATAATAATAACAAATGAAATTAAATAATTTTAAAAAAAAGAGCTTATGCAACAAGTATCCAAGTCAGATGCTCCCAGATCTGGTTAATATTGCTTACTGAAAATTGCTAGAGGAAATCAGAAAGGGGGAAATTCTGCAGGAAAAGATTGCCATGGTTTGAGAGAGAGACTGGAGAAGTCAATGCTAATAAATCTCACCTCACCCTCAGCAACCCCTGCCAGGGAATTCTTGAGGCCAAGTCACTACCCATGGGAGGCTGAACACAGTCACTGCGTTTGATGCCTAATGACAATCATCACAAATGTCAGCACCAGGACGGATCACAGACAACATGCCAGCTGCCGTGCTAAGCAATGTGTCTCTCTAATTACCATAAGAAACAGGCAAAGTAGAAACAAGTCAGCTGTGCCATCCCATGGCCTGATGGTGAAGGAGACCATATCCCACATGGCTGACTGCCCGGTTCGAATCCTGGACCTGGTGGCTTGAGAAGCACATGAGGCACACACGCATGCAAGCATGCCCAAAATCCCAAACTGGAGGGAAAAATGGAGGAGAGGGGATTTTGGCATGACCTTCCATTGGGGGGTGTTTTCTCTTTTATCTCTCTCTCTCTCTCTCTCTCTCTCTCTCTCTCTCTCACACACACACACACACACACACACAAAACACACATATCTTCTGACAAATTAAAAATTAAAGAGAGGAAGAAGTCTCCTGCATTTTATAGAGATGAGAATTTTTATATGAAGCTCTCAGCCACTAGCCCAAGGTCATGCAGCTAGTGCAGAGAGCTAGGATCAAAACCAACTCATCAACTCCAAAGACCAGACCTACAGCACACAGAACAAGGAGCATCCCTACATATGAGGGTGAATAAGGAAGGTTTCCTGTGAACAAACAGCGTTGGACCTAAACATGGCTGGACCAGCCCTGGAAGACCATCCAGGAGGCTCTTGAGATCCCTAAGATGCCTTCTGAGAAGACACTGGGATTCAAATACCCTGGCGTTATGCTGCGATTTTTCTAATAGTAAATGTTACCTGTTGGGCTCATTGGTACATCAATTACTTTACTAAACTCAAAATCTATGCGTTCCCTCTTGCTATGCTGAAAGTCAGTAAAATACAGGAAGATTTCAAAGCTCAAGCCTTCTACCCTGTCACTGTATCAGCTTGCCAACAGCATTACCCAGGTGCTTATGTGTGGGGCCTGTCTCTGAAACCGGCCAAACCTCTACCTGATGCATAAACTTCCCAGTCACTAGCAGTGAAAAGTGGCTAGGCAGCATCTACTTTCAAACCTGTAAAAATGGTAAGTTCCTCTTCCAAGACAGCACATCCACAGAGAACCAAATATTAATTATGAAAAGCTTTTTATTTACATCGGACTGAATACCTCTCTGACCCCCTATGTTTTCACCTGCTGGTTCTAATTTTACTCTCTAGAGTAAAACACACATTCTTCTTTCCATAAAACAGTCTTTCAAGACTTTGACACTCGTCTAAACCTTCTCTTTTTCAAACTAGGCACTCTCAGTCTTTGAACCACTTCTTAGCTAACGTGACTTCTTTTTTTTTTTACTAAAACAAAACAAACAAACAGAAAAAAAAAAAAAAAAAAAAAAAAAAAACAAGCAATGCTTTAACTCTTTAACAAGTGATTCCCCTCTGCGATATACGGAAATCCCAATCCCTCCGACAGTTCCTTCTGAAACAAGCTTTCCTCTTTTCCCTAAGTCAGCCCCAGAGGGGCCGCCCGTATAGGCTCTGGCACCAAAGACAGGACGTAAGACTTGTGAACATTTCCTGATCAGGAAAGGTAACACGGTTTCTGAACCCTCAGACCTTTCAGTTTACTCTCCTCTGTCCTATTTGTCCACATCACTCTTTTTTTCTTTTTTTCTTTTTTTTTCTTTTTTTTTTTTTTTTTTTTTTGCCAGAGAGACAAGAGAGAGAGCAGGAGAGGAAGAAAGCATCCTCAGTGGAGCACTGTCACATGGCCGTCCCTTCTCCTCCCTCTCTCCTTCCTTTTCGTGATCCTGGGCACCCATGCACGTACACCCAGCGTGTGTCTCAACTCACCAGGTCTGGGACTTGAAGAACGCAGTCAACCACGTGGAATCCAGTGCCCTTAACCACCAGGCTATGCGCTGGTCCACATTCACTCTTTACAAAACTAAACCGTTTCCAAGTGCAACCTGACTGGTATGAAATGGGGATGACTACACCCTATGAAGTAAACACTATGAGTTTCAGACTAGGTTTCCATAGACTCTGCCAGTGAGTCTAGCTGAGCACCCACTGAAATCAAGCTCAGCAGCCTTTCTCATCCGCCCTACTGCATGGCCCTACTCCCGTGCTGTTTACTTGTGCCATCGGTGTTCGGAGCCCACAGGCAGTCTTTACATTTATCCTGGTGCAATCTGTCTGTCTTAGTCACTACTCTAGCCTAAGTCTGTAGAGAACCTTGACCCTGGCATATACAATACTTGTTACTCCACCCAACCTTACATCATTTGTAAATGTGATTGGCAAGCCCTTGATGTCGTCATCGAAATCATGGGCTAAAGTTTAGTAGCGGTGCAGTCCCTGTGACCAACACAAACTAGTTGCCTTTAATGACAGCTGCAAAAGCACAACATTTAAGCCAGTGGAACCATCATCCCATCTACACTTTCCATCTTGTCCATGAAAATATAAATCCTCAGTTATTGTGGGTAAAAAGCTGTTTATTGTCTAATAAACTCTTAGAAGAGTTATAAGTTAATTATTATAAAATCAACATAGACTAAATGTACTTGTGTTTTTACATTAAACAAAAATATCTGGATATTGATAAAATACTTGGAACAGTCTTTAAAATATAGTCAAGAGGACCAGCAGTTAGCGTAATGGCCATGTCGCTGGACTCCCACGTAGTCGACCGCGGTTCATGTCCCGGACCCAGTGGCTTAAAACTCACGCCGGGCGCATGTGCGTGTGTGCCCAAGATCCTGAGAAGAGAATGGAGAAGGGATTGCGGTGTGGCCATCCCCCCTGGGGGGATGATTTCTCGCTTTCTGTCTCTCTGTCTCTCTCTGTCTTTCTGGTGAGCGTACGCACCCTATAGCAAAAAAACTCTCCAAATAAATAAATAAATAAATAAAATATAGTCAAGGGGTCATATGCAAATTTCTTTGTGCAGACACCACAAAGAGACGTTAAGATTAAGCAACAAGAGGCCTGATGGTTAAGTCCAGTGGTTAAGACACTGGACTTCCATATGACCAACCATGGTTCAAGTTCCAGACCTGGAGGTTTGCTTTCTCTCTCTTTTTCTCTGTTTCTCTCTAGTGAGTACAAGTGCCCTATAGCAAATTAATAATAATAATAACAATAATAATTTTTTTGAGAGAGAGCTTTTTATTTTGCCATAAAATATGTATATTTTATTCCAGCTCTGAGAAATCAAAAAAAGGGGAAACACATCTTTCCACACATCAATCTAATTTAACTGATATAAATTCAGAAAAGCTAGAACAGGTATAAATGTATATATGTGTGTATATATGCCATATACATACATATACATAGGGATTACCAGATTTTAGTCTCATTGGTATTCATATCTTCATTCATTCTGTTTTGATTTTTAGTCAATACCTTTAAAAGTCAAATGCATGCTAATCCTTCTACCTGTGTCTCCTCATCAATCAGTTCATATTATTTGGATTGTATTAATAGCTTGTATTTTAATCACATATGTGATTGGTCAAACTTTATATTTGAAAATGTAATGGAAAGACTTTAGCTACACTCTACATGGCAGTTACCCCTTACATGATTTTTTTCATCATCATTTGCAGCTTCACACATCCTGTAGTTGTCTGTGCAGTCTCTATGCAGTCGTTTTCAGCTTCTAGTACTGTACATGTCCACATCTTCTGGATGGGATTGCCCGTGATCCACGAGCTTGCGGTCAGGCATAAACAGTGTCGCACCCGAGATTGATTCTGATTTGGTCTTTATTTCGGAGCTGAGTTCTCCTGGCAAAGGCATTGAATCTTTCAGGAGACGAGTTGTTTCTGCAGGTGTTTCTATTTCAGCCGAGTTTCCTAGCTTAGTTTTTTCTTTAAGTTCAGGAAATGACTCTTCTTGGTTTCTTTTTGTCCGCAATGATCTAATTGCTTCATAAATTTGCTGACTTGTATCATACGCTTTTCCGGTTACCCTTGCAGTTATTACTGACTGAACAGGATCGCAAACAGTTGCTCCTAAAGTGGCCAGTCCCAGTGGATAAGCAATTCTCTTGAACCTAGGTCCTTTTCTTGCTGAAACAAAGCCCACCAATCCTGAAACAGTAATCACTCCCATTTTCGGAAGAAAATCTCGAGAAGGATTCTTCAGATAGACATATGCATCTTTTCCAAACTGTACTGTATCCATTATCCCATTTTTCACAAAGATATAAACACCCTTGCACCAGCCAATATCACGACTAGTTGTAGTGCGGATGGAAGCAAAGCCTGTTTGTAAACGACCAGGCTGCTCTTCAACACATTTAGATTGGAGAGGTGGCACAGTATATATGGGGGGCTGCTCTGGTTTCACTAGCTGCTTTCTGGGTTCCTCTTCTTTGGCCACATATACACTTAGAGATGTGTACATTAGACCTGCAGGTGAGGTTGTTAGCTTTCCCATCCTAATGGCCGCCATATCTATAACCCTCTCCGCTCAAGTTTTTCGAGAGAGAGCTTTTTGTGTATGTGTTCACTAGAGAGACAGAGAGAGACAGAGAAACAGAAAGGGAGAAATCACCACCACCACCACCCCCCCGGGGAAGGTGGCCACACCGCAATCCCTTCTCCTCCATTCTCCTCTCAGGATCTTGGGCACACACGTACACGCGCATGGTGTGAGTTTTAAGCTGCTGGGTCGGGGACTTGACCTGTGGTTGACTACGTGGGAGTCCAGCGACATAACCAGTATGCCATCTGCTGGTCCCAATAATAATACATTTTTAAAAACTAAGCAGCAAGAGGCTAGGCATGCCTGCCAAATGGGGAAGATATTATCTCATGTAATAGGAGCATGAATAGGTGGGCTGGCTCTGAGATACAACTGTAACATGCTGCTCACGAGAAGCCAAATCCCACATGGCGATCATAGTTCAAATCCCCAGCCCGGTCTATAGGAAATGCACTGGACATGCATGCAAGTGGACCATAGATCCAACAGGCTGGAGGACAGAAGGAAGGGGACTGTGGCATGACCAGACCCTGTGGAGAGTGCTCTCTCTCACAGACACTCTGTGCGTCCGTGGGCACCGTACCCTGAATAAAGGGAAACTGGACTAGCTCTGTACTGCAGTAGGCTCAGTAGGTAAGCACGATGCACTGGGAGCCAGATTCCACGGCATCAGCTGGCCCAGTGACCTGAGAAACATGGTGGGCGTGGTGCGCACACCCCAGATCTCGACAGGACGACGACATGGAGCAAAAGGACCGCAACGCGGCCGAGCCCCTTTGCAGGCCGCTCTCACACTCTGGCTCACTTTCTCTCTGGTGAGCACCTGTGCAGTCTGGCAATAAAAACAGATGAGTAAAATACATAAACTTAATTTTTTAAATTCAGCAATAGAAAAAAAAAAAAAAAGAAAAGATATTATGGAGTGAGAAAAGCTGTAGTGTTTTCCAATGTGAGCCATAAACACAAAGTCTCAAGGCACAGTAACTTTATGTCTCATGTCCCAGGGGGAGGAGAAGCAGCAGGGATACATTTATTTAATGATAATTCTGTAAATACCGAAGTTTTCACGCTTTCAGTAATGCCACATGCTAAACACTTTATATAGGTCATCTCAGCAGTTGCCTGATGCTGTTGGTTTGTGATTATCCATTTTGAAAATTTTTAATTTCTCTCTCTTTAGGTTTCTCCCATTTTCCAGAAGACCTTGAGGAATTCCAGCAGCACTTCAGTAAAAGTATTTGCAAACTTCTGGTAATTAATTTAATGAATGAACCATCCCTTCAGTAGATAATATTTCTCAATATTCTCCTGAGAATAAGGCACTTGCTGAGTACCAAGGAAGTTGGCTGACTTCAAGATGTTACTTTTTTTTTTTTTTTCACTATAGGGTGCATGTGCTCACCAAAGAGACAGACAGAAAAATCACTCCCCTGGGGTATGGCCACTTTGCAATCCCTCCTCCTCCTTTCTCCTCTCACAGTTTTGGACATGCACACACACAGGCTCGGCCTGAGTTTGAAGCCGTGGGTCCAGGACTCGAACCACAATCGACTACACAGGAGTCCAGCGACATAACCATTATGCCATCAGCTGGTTCCCATGCCGTTACATTTCTTAGATTCATAACTCTTCGACTGTGGGCTCCAATTTTCTCTCCCGGGCTGGCTGCACCTCTCTCCTCTTCGCCGGCTGTGTGAGCTCCTGTAGGTTAGGAACACTGATGTAAGGCCTGACCCAGCAGGGGTGACCGTGAGAGGCGCGTCCACCTAACTTAGTTCCGAGGCACAGGGGACGGCATAAACATTAGGGATGTGTTCCTTTCTTGCACTCTCTCCTTTGCAGTTGGCCAATCCACCTCTTTCCAGAGAAGGTAGGAGTAACATAAGCGCCAAATGATTCCACTCTCTCCCAAGAGCATCTGCGATCATTGTCATCTGCCACCACCAGGGTACTAAGCCTGTATTCTTTTCATATTACTTTTTTAGTTTTAACTTTTGCTATAAGGTGTATTTACTTGCTGGAGACTGAGACAGAGAGAGAAAGTGAGAAAGTACCTCCCAGTGGAGATGACCACGTCACAATCTCTTCTCCTCTATGCTCCTCTCAGGATTTGGGGCACATGTGCACACACACACACCCAGTGCATTTCTTAAACTGCTGGGTCCGGGACTTGAACTGCACAGTTGGTCATATGGGATCCTACCACCTTAACCTCCATGCCATCTCCTGGCCCCATATCACTTTCATAAAAGGGGAAAAGACAAAGAAACACATTGGTTTGAGTATGTTTCATAAGTCATGGTGCCCTTCCTGACACTATTCTTTTTTTTTAAATAAAATCCAGAAGAAATTCATTTGGATCACTGCCAACTCCCAGAGAGTGGCTTCACTCGGTGTAAGACTGAGCTGATTTCATGCTCAGAACCATGAGCCCTGTGGACTTCCCATCACCCTTGCCAATTCTTTTTTTCCCTTTGCTTCCCCAGACGAACTGTCATATTTTAGTCACCTGATTGGGTTACCTGAACATTGACCTGTTTAAACATAACCTCTGGGCAGTAAAGAGAAAATCAAAATATAACCACCTGCAGCCACTCCAGCACTGAGGACTGGTCTCTAGGGAGGGAGGGAGAGACGCCATTAGCCAGTCAGCGGGCCAGAAAGCGCTCCGCCTACATCAGACATCCTTGTTATTTTGCTGTTGATACAGTGACCTGTCACTAAATTCTACTGTATTTAATATTATATTCAGCAAATATTTATTGCAGACCCACTATGTGCCAGGCATGGTGACAGGGGCTTAGATGGAGGAGCGACTCTTAACGTGGACCAGATATTATGTGCACGGTGTTTCCTAAGTCAGTCTGGATGTCATTCGCTTCCTGTGACATTTCCCCAGCCCCACTCACCCACCCAAAGCCAAAAGCTAAATTTTCACAATTAGAAAAAAAAATCCCTCAAACAAATGCCTTCCTCACATCGCAGCCGGACTTCTCCTGGCAGCGCTCCTGAGTTGCTTATACTTCCCCTCGTTCTGCCTGTTCCTCAAAGAAGTGAAGTCAGCCCACATCTTTCTACCGAAATCGAAATTACCTAGATTTCCTCTTCATCCACAACAGGCAGCACTTTGTATTATTCCAGTAAGACAAAATGATTTAGGCACAATAAGTTCTTTTTTGTTTTTTGGAGAAGTTTTTGCTATAGGGCACATGCACTCACCAGAAAGAGACAGAAAGAGAGAAATCACCCCCCAGGCGGGATGGCCAAGCTGCAATCCCTTCTCCTCCATTCTCTTCTCGGAATCTTGGACACGCACACACACGCACCCACACCCGCCGTGAGTTTAAACCACTGGGTCCGGGACTCAAACCATGGTCGACTACATGGTAGTCCAGCGACATAGCCATTACGCCAACGGCTGGTCCCATAGGCACAATAAGTTCTAATTCATGACCCACATAGGCTAAGTCTGAAGTCATTTCCAATATTTATTATGTCTGTCACCCAGGGCAACTTAGTTGAATTTTCTGGACCACTTATAAATAGTATCACAGTGAGGCAGAAGACAGATACATAGTTAGCGTATGAGCCCAAGATGGAGTCACAAAACAGCTAAGTTCTGAGAGGCAGTGGTGGCTCAGTAATTGACCTAGGCAGAAAGACCTAAAACAAAGGCTTTTTCCATACCCTACCACATTCCAGGAAGAAGATAAGATAATGGTTTTTATGTCCTAAGGCTTCTAGACAAAGAATCTCCTACCCACTCCAAAATGAGGAAAATAATTAAACCCATCCAGCATGCCCACCTCCCCAGCAGGAGGGAATACATGAACCTAGAACAAATCCCTTCCTGACCCAAATAAAAACCCCTCACCACAGTTCTTCCTAGGCAACCCATTTTCCCAGACCCCTCCCTTTTGGGGAGCTCTCTTTTTCCTTCCGTCTTCTTTAATAATCTCCCGGCTTTCCTAGACCTACTCTGTGACTGTGACGCTAATTCTTCCTGAGGTGGGACAAGAACCTGTGTTTCACTGCCAGTGTGGGCCTGAACACCCCTGTACCCCAGCGTTCCTGTGTCAATAGTATGACCGCTATCATAGAGATATTGGGAGAATTAAATGGGAGAAAAATAGATGTAAAGCACCAGTGCAGTGTTCAAAGTGGCAGCTACTGTTACGGATCCCAGCTCCCAGGTTACCGTGGATCTTAGAAACAGAAGTGTCAGGGCCAGCAGGTGGCGTGGTGGTGAAGACACTAGACTCGCAAATGGCTGACCTCAGTTCCAGTCCCAGGCCCAGTGGCTTGAAACACATCAGGCATATGTACATGCGTGCCCAAAATCCTAAGAGGAGAATGGAGGAGAAGGGGCTGTGGTGTGGCCACAGCCCCTTCTCCAAAGTGTCGAGAGCCTCGTTAGCTGCAGAGGAGACCTCGGTATAGGCTACCCACGGCAAGAAGCAGGGAGTGATGTCCCCAAAATATCTGCTCACTTCAGCCTCTGCCACCTCTGTTCAAACAAATGTGAAGGAGGTCACTACCTTGAGGTCACTTTTGTATCCAGAGCTCCCACATAAGCAAAGCAAAACCCAACGCGCAATATAAATAGCAAAAAGAAATAGCTACTTTATCAGTAAGAACCACCAACTAACCACGAACAGGGTCTTTCCACTCTACTCGGTCTAATGCATTTCCTGGCCTTCCCTCCACAGGCAGGATGTGCAAGCTGGCTGCCCGAGCTGCCGCAGAGGGGCTCCCTATACCCTTGCTGAGTGCCGCCTGACTCAAGAACTGTTCTTTGCTAAAATTGCCTGCTAGGTTTATTCTGTCTAAAGTTCTTCTCCTTCTTTTAACACTCCCTTCTTTTTTTCCCCCAAGCTGGAATCCTTCCTCACTTTGCATGACTCCACTCCGTCTCTTCTAGAACCCTAAGACACCAAGCCCTCTGAATGCCCACTGCTGCATGCAGGCAGAGAGCAGACGCTGACTGAGCAGCGGCTGAGCAGCGGCTCCTTGAAGAGCTAACTCAACCGTCACCCCAACACATGG